CACACACACACACACACACACACACACACACACACACACAGAGGTTGGATGCAATTATTCCCCAGGAGTTTCTGTATCTCCAATGACAAGATATTAAAAACACACAGACAAATGCTCTTATGTCGGCTGCTTTTTGACAATTCAGAATGCAGTCCTATACATGTTTAGACTGGAAAAAGTCCTGCAACTCCCAGCATTCTTCAGCCAGTCATGCTGTTTTTTTCCTATCTAAACATGCATAGGATTGCACCCTTAATATCATATGCAAAAGCAAGCCTTTGAATATTGTGATGAATATCCCCTTTTCAGATCTCTCTCTCTCTCTCCATCCTACTGAATACAGAAAAGTTACCCCTACATAAACCATAATGATTTTGGCATACAAATAATTTGCATGAGACTAGAAGGAACACCAGGTATTGTAAATAGGCAGCATCGCATTTTCCCTTTCCCCCTTTAAGGCAGCTGCCAGAAGGAGAGGTGGCAATTGGCGTATTTGAGGAAGAGACAGTAATTCTTTCACTGTAGCATTTTCCTGACCTTATTTGTCTAACCCCCTCCCCCCCTCAATGCTGCTATTTGTCCCACTCTGAAAACTACTGAATGATTTTAGGTCCTTATATATTTTATCTAATAGGACACATTACTTGATGGGAACAAATTATTGTAAAGCCTTCCCCTCCCCACCACACACTATAATCTACAAAGCTCTAATCTAAGTTGGAGGTGTTCTGGGTATTTTGCAGTACAAGAGAAAATGTCCAGAGATCTGATGACATCTCTTGTCTAAATTGACTTAGATGGGCCTGAAAATGCATTTACTTGGTGATACAGGTTGGTTCTCACAGCAATTTCAGTACACAGCTTTTAGTCAGAGTGTGCTGTTCTTCAGCTATGCACTGGCTTGGGGAAAGTCAGCCAAAATGGTCTTCATGCACTATCATAACTTACTTTCTTACTCAAAAATTTGGAGCTAAGATAAAGTCAACCTGCACTGACCTGTGTATGTGGCATTAAGCTTTAGCACAGTAGGTCTAACTGGATGAAGTCACAACTAAAGCTTCTGTGCATTAACTAAAAAAACAATGATGCCATGCATGGGAAGGGTCATGATTTCAACAGTTTGCTTCCAAGGATATTTGGATTACAATTCAAATTCCGAGCACACTTATAATGAAGACTTCTGTACATGAAACACTGTCAAAAATCTGGTCTGTCTTTCCCTGCTTCTTCCAAGCAGATCATGACAAAAGGCTTCTAAAGTCTTTATGATATCAAAACTGGCTAGTTAGGCTGGCTTTGTAATACAAAAGAGCATTGTAACAATTATTAATAAAAGGCACCAGTGAAGTTAGAATACTAACAATTAGGGAAATGTGGCTTAATGAGAAGAAGTTGATCCCTTCTCTTATCTCAACCAAAAGGAGTTGGTTCCACCTTTAGGCTGGTTTGTGCTCCTTGTGGACCAATTGGTAGGACTATCCGGTGCCACTCAGTTGGTCTGCCATTTGATCTGATGCCATATGATCAGCTTAATAATGTTAAGTCCATCCCCATCTAGCACCACCTGTTCAACAGCGTTTCCCACAGAACCAGACACGGTCTGGGTCTAACTGTCCTCATGGCTTATCTCTGGGCCTGTTGGCCTTGGTATTTCAGCTAAGATCCCACCTCTTCTTCCAGTTTTATGAGGCAGCCACCTTGGAAGGCTGCATTTTAGGAGAACCAGGCCTAGTCCCTAAGGGCATGTAACCTGGCACTTTACTGAGGGGTTTTCCTCCCTGCCTTGCTTCTTCCCTTCTGTTTCTACATGTTCCATTACACAACAGTAGGTGGTGCTGTGGTATATAGTAGAATTAATTGCAAAACTACACTAGGCTTTTGTAGTGAACAATGGTGCCCTCTGTTGAAATCCAGACTCTCCTCACTCTAAAAAAAGTCGGAGAAATGGCTGGAAAACTCAGGACAGGCACTGAAGGAGGATAGCATCATTAAAAGGCCGAACTTCTGTGAGTGAAGGATTATGAGTGCCTAATGAATGTCTCATGTAGAGAAGTCCTGAGAGGCAAGTCTTCCTACTGAAATACCAGCAGGTCTTCCTCTTGATAGAATTTCTATGCAAGTCTGTAATTCCACGCAAACTCATTTTCAAAGTAAATGTCATTAAAATAAATTGGGCTTACTTCCAAGGGGAAAGTTAAGATTGGTAAGGTGTAAGATAATGCTGCACTTTGGCCTTAACTTATTGGCACTGCATGAATTATCATTGCCAACATACAGTGCAGTCTTAGGCATGTCTGCTCAGAAGTTAAATTGTACTCAAGCAAAGTGTGTACAGCCAGAGTTAAAGAAAGTAATGCAGGTGTTATGTATTCACTTTCAAAGATATTGAATGTATGATTGCCCTTTGGCACGTATTTGTCATTTAAGCAGACTAGCTTTGCTCCATAGCCAGTTTAGAGAAGGATAGCACATGCTCCATGTTCCCCAAATTAACACTGCTCCTGCCATATGCCTTTATATGGTCCACCTCCCAACCCAGAGACTAGACATATGTATTTCTAGTGTGCTTGAGTCTTCTTAAAATTGGAAGAAAGGTTTTTAGAAAAGAAGCTTAATCCATTTGAACATAAAATGGGACAGATAAGCCTCCAACTATGTTATGTGAAATAAAATATCCTTTTGGTAATAGATACAGTATCCATATTAAACAGGCATTAAATCAAATCTAGACATTTGCATATTCTGCAGGTGGAGTGTGTCAACATATTACAGCAGTCTTCCCCATCCCAGTGCTTCCAACTGTGTTGGACTAAGACCTCCAGCCCCATTCAGCTTGCCGTGCAGCAGTCCAACACATTTGGATGGCACCAGGATGGGAAAGACTGTATTAGAGGGGACGTTTGAAGGGAGAGGGGGGAAACCTTGCCCAGCACAAGAAACAGCCGCACATTTTTATTGGCCCAGACAGGTTCATTCAAAGTTATGATGATCCCTGCCTCTTTTGATACTGTATTCTAAGCTTCTCCAGCTGTTCAACACATTGTGTCTGGGCCAGCCTCAGTGTCCGGTTCTCTTCCGTGAGGTCTGCATACTCTTTAGTTAGCTGAGCAGCATCCATGCTTTCTTTCTCAACTTGATCTAGTCGAGTGATCAGCTCCTTTCTGAAAAGAAAGTTTTAAGATACAAACTTTTATGATCCAGAGTAATACCAAAGGTGAACACAAATACTTCAGCTTGGATCCTAATGACCATGAGCAATGAGACAAATGATGCATTTAAGTAATAGTTCCAGGAACTCTTGCCCAAGAACTAGCAGAAAACTTCTGAATCAGGTGAATGCAACCTCTGCCCCCAGTCACACAATGAATGAATGCTCAGAGGGGGCTATGAGTCATGTAGGATAGTCCTGTCCACCATTGTCACCACAGAATACCACCATATTCTCCTAAACATCTGCTTGATGAACCACAGAAGTTCTTCATAGATACAGAAGTATGTATGATGAGCTCCTACTTACATGTGAGAACTTTCTGCATGCACTGCATTTCTGTGTGCACAGAGAGAACAAGTGGCATTACCCTACCAGGATCTCCACTCTACCCTCTCCTTTAGTGTTGCCCTGGTAAGACCAGAGGACCTTTGGAAATCCATTTTTGATCAGTCAGAATGCATCCTGGGAAAAGTCAAAGCTGATGTTTGGAACATGATACTGGGTGATGTGGCATTGCTGTAACAGTAAAAACAGAACGTAACCCACACATACGTAACCACACACACATCCATTCTCTAAAATTAGCCTGGTGGCAAATTTAACTGAGAGTCCCCTGTGTTGTTTTTTGTGCTGTCAAGTCATCTCCTACTTATGGGAACCCTATGAATGACTGCCATCCCAAATGTCCTCTCCTTGGCAGCCCTCATCACAGGACAAGAGTCCTATGGGCTTGGGTAAAAAAAATATTGCCCAAGCATACTAATTTATCCAGGTGCCTTTGTTTTTTTTTTTTTTTCTCACTTTCTTCCACCCTGCAGCATTACTAGTGTAGCTGAAGAGCAATGCAATTGCTACTAGTGGAAAATAATCAGAGACTTTCTGGTGGGGCGTGCGAGGACTGGTTCTAGAGTCTACTCTATTTTTATCAGTGACATAGAAGATGGAAGCCAAAAGCTCATAAATGCTATGGTGACAGATTGATAATGTGGTGAATACTGACAGGTGTGGAAAAATGAAACTGATGTTCTTAATCAGCTTAGAAAGGTGAAGCATCACATATACGAAAACTAAGAACATGTAGGGCTGTTCTTACATTAACTCAGATTAAAGTACACAGTGAGGTGCTTTGAGCCAGCTGTACATAAGCAACCGCTGTAGAGAGCTTTGTCATAACAGGCATTACTGCAGGAGAACTGCCCTGGTCCACATTACCCGACTTCGGCAAGGACTGCCTAACCTGCACTTCGCAATGGTGCTGCATGAACACAACTCTGGACAATACAGATTTGGAACAAACTAGATAAATGAGCAAATCAAGAAAAACAATACATTTTGAGAAATGAAGGTTCTCAAGAGGTTTCTGTTGCATGAATTTAAGTCACCTGAAATTTGTAAACCAATATTTTTTTAAACTAGCTCAAGAGCACAGGCAGAGAAAAACACAAAAAGTTACAAGCATAACATTTTCTACAACTACCTGTAGGGTGAAATGTGTTTTACCTTAAATGTCTACTTTCCTTCAAACATATTGCAGAAATGTAAACGACCGAAACAGAAGAAAATTTATATCAAGTTTATATTTTTTTCCTTTCCCTGAGTATGATTTGGCTGATTACTGCTTAACACTCAGTTTATTTTTTCAGTATTTCAATATGGGCATGACTGCTTGCTGCTTTCGATTTTTTATCACATGAACAGTATGTTGTTGTTTGACTTTCTCATGTCTCTTGGAAAACACTGATATGATTTACCACATTTTTAAACTAATCAATCCCATCTGTAAACATTTAAAATGTTTCTTTATTGCTCTTCCCCCGTTAAAATACTACTTCTTCCATGTGATATTATCACATTCAAAATTCCAAGCATAAGTTCACTTATTTACAATGCAGGTTATGTAATAACTGCTTTGCATGTGCAAGAAGGCATCTAAATGTTGTATCCCATAAATAAGTGAGGGTGCAGTCCAGTGCCTCCCACATACATGCACACGCACCTAAGCCTCCAAACATGAAGGCTTCCATGTGTCCAGTGGCTGAAGTGAGGCCTGCCTTCCTTGTGCACTTGATCTAAACATCTGGTTTTAGCCATCTAAAGTGCCAGGGAGCGGGAGGGAAGAAGGCTTGGGCACTGATAGGATTTGGCATATATAGATGGCCCCAGCCTCTCCTCTCCCCAACATGCCCCCTTTTCCCCTCTCTGAGGGGCATTTGCTCTCTTGGAGAAGCAGCCAGCACAATTGCAGGATGAGCACCAAGGCTGCTGGACTTTGAAGACTCCTATAGCCTCCCAGCTGATCCTAGGATTGCACCCTTATTGTTTGGAATAAAAACATATAAATGTTGATTACATTAACCATAGAAAGCTGGGGAAGAGTGGGGCAGAAATGACTTAAATATTAAATTTATTTATTTATTTATTTAAAACATTTCTATGCCACCCCATCGCAACAAAGCCTCGGGGTGGCTCACAACATAATTAAAATATATAAATAACAGTTAATACAATTCATTAAAAGCTTGGTAATATCTCAGCATAAAATTTAAAATTCTAACAATACATAATACATTAACAATTAAAATAAGTTTTAAATAAAAAGGTCTTAGCCTTGGGCCGAAAAACAAATAACGACGGCACCAGGCGGACCTCTCTGGGGAGCGCATTCCATAGGTGGGGCGCCACCACAGAGAAGACCCTCCTCTGGGTACTCACCCTCCTAATATCATTCATGGAGGGTTCCTGGAGAAGGGCATCTGTTGCTGATCTCAAGAGGCGGGAGGGCATATATGGACGCAAGCGCTCCTTTAGATAACCAGGTCCCAAGCCGTTGAGGGCTTTATAGGTCATGACCAACACCTCGAATTGGGTCCGGAATTCAATCGGGAGCCAGTGAAGCTGACAGAGGACTGGGGTTATATGAGAACAATGCCCAGTCCCCGTCAGCAACCTGGCAGCTCTATTCTGCACCAATTGAAGTATCTGGACCGTCTTCAAGGGTAGCCCCATGTAGAGCGTGTTACAGAAGCCTAATCGGGAAGTTACCAACGCATGTGTCACTGTTGCCAGGCAGTCATTCTCCAGGAAGGGACGCAGCTGATGGATCAGCCGAAGCTGAAGGAAGGCACTCCTCGCCACCGCCATCACCTGAGCTTCTAGTGACAGCTCAGGATCGAGGAGCTCTCCCAAGCTGAGAACCCTGTCCCTCAGAGGGAGTGCAACCCCATTTAGGACAAGGCCCAGGTCCCTCATCTCGAAGTCCGAACCACCCACCAACAGGACCTCCGTCTTGTCTGGATTAAGTTTCAGTTTATTGGCCCTCATCCAGCCCATTACCTCGGCCAGGCACCGGTTCAGTACAGCCACTGTCTCACCTGGATTGGTGGAAAACGAGAGGTAGAGCTGGGTATCATCAGTGTACTGATGATTCCGCAGCCCACACCTCCTAATGACCTCTCCCAGCATCCTTATTTATTTATCTAAAACATTTGTATCCTGTCCTTCACAAGAGTGTCTCAGGATGGCTTACAAGACGGCTTACATCCTTAAAATGAAGCAAAGGATCCTCTGCAAATGTGATACATTCATCCCTCTCACTGGGCATTCTTAAGCAGAAAGAGGCTATAAATATTAACTTAAAGCAACTTTGTTCTTTCTGAATGGGCAGGTTTACATTAATATACATATTAGTGTATGTATTAATTAGGCACCATGGACTAATTAATCCGTGGGGATCTGAGACATGTGCCAGACACTATTTTTAAAATGAAAGCCACAGCTGGAGCAGAGCACAGCTTCTTGTGCCACACATTGTTCTAGAATTATCTGGGAATTGTTTATCCTCATGAGGGCCAGGTTTCCATGAAGTAAGAAGGCATGTGATGCACCTTCCACAGTATGCATATTCAAAATGGCAGCTTATACACATCTTGGTGCCCCTAAGATAAATAACCCATGGTGGCTTATGGGTTAATTAATGCAAACTGTGAATAGATTCCTCTGCTTTGAGGAACAGTGAGCTGTAACCCTTCTGTAATCAACGCAGCTGCCAAGAAAGTAACTAATTCTGCCTGTTGCAGTTTCTGAGCTAAAAAAAAAGGCTGACCTGGCAAATGCAGTGGGAAATTACTTTCTGTGTGTCCTACTTTACAGATGACAGTTGTCTGCTGAAGAGCTGTCATAGGACAGTTCTCCATTTGGATGGGGTTGCCCACCTAAGTACAACTTGAAGTAATTATTTCTGAATCTGCATGTGTAAATGTTATGCAAATCTATTCTTTGTTCCACTTTTTTGGAGATTCAGTAAGCGGCCATCCTACAGACTTGGCAAGACAGGCCAAAACAGAGGATCCAGTATTCAAAGATCTTAAGAGAAAATGGAAAGTGAAAATGGAGAAATTACCAAAATGGAAGTGAATCCACACGGACAGTGTGTTACATTTTCAAGATTCAAAGTCTTACATTTAAGAAGATCATGGTTAAAAGTATTTTGGCAGGATAGAACTGGTGAAACAACCACGCTTAATCTAGGACCATGCAAATGTTCCAATGAACAAACAGAAAGCCAGCCCTCATCAAAGATTAATGTCCCCAACTTCTCCAGGTCTCAGGCATGCACCTGGATCATCTTACGTGCCTCAGAATGCTTCTACGACTCCATCCATGCTTTTGAAGTTAACCTTTGCTTTGGAATTTACTATCCAGTGTCCTGAACTCAAAAATCTAAGGCACTTTGAAAGTAAAAAGAACTGTAGTATAAATAAAAATCAGGATAGGCCATGTCTATAGACTTGTAACAGAGAAAGACAGGGAAAAAAGATTAAAGTGTTTACTTTGGAGGAGGACAAGGAAACTACCATGTTTTTTTTTTTTTTTTTTTTTTTAAGATACACTGAATTTTAACACATCCTTAGTTAGCTTGTAAAAATCTCTTCATGCAGGTACTACTTTTCCAAGTATGCAACATTCATTTGGGAGGCAGAAAAATACCACTTACTTTCTTTCTTCAAGCAGTGCAATTTCCTTTTTGACTTCATAATATTCTTCTGCTATTTGGCAGTGCTGTTTAAACACCTGCATAGATTCCTTTGAGTCATGGCAAGGAGGCAGGGGCTTCATAAACAAAGGGAAAAAATAGTCTAAGGCTTTTTTCATTCAAATGAATCCTCAGAAACTATATTTAAATGGAGACATCATTTCAACATAATGAGTTCTTTTGTTATGGTAGTTGGAATATTATTTCAGGAAAGTACTCTCTTGGCAAAGAAAAGTTTTCTCATCTACTTGAAGAAAAGTAACATGAGTTTGTTTCCCTTCCTAAACCCTTCATACCAATTCCTGACACTTTTCAGAGTAATTTCTTATACAATATGGTGAATAGTTTTGCTTTTTAACACCTCTGTTTGTTTACCAGTCAAAGCTGGTAAACAAATGTTAGAAATGTTGGAAATGTTTAACCAAACAGTGATGATCTCATATCAGCCTTCTCTAATCTGGGATCTTCCAAATATGCTGACATGGGATATCTGGCTTGGGATAATGTAGCCCAACACAACTGGGAAGTACTGGGTTAAAGAAGGTTTCTGTATATTATACATACTTCTTTTTCCATTTGTGTTCATACATGACACTTTCAGGATATTTCAGCAAGGCAGCTTAGAGGAGGGAGAAGGGCTAGGACTGAACACCTGGATTCCCAGATGGTTGGGTGGTTTTCTGGGTGAACTGTTGGTTTTATCTAATCAAAGTAGATGCCAAGCCTCTTAAATGCTCAACAGTTTCAGTCTCTGATCATTACCAATTACCTTTGATGCAGCATATACAAAGGAGCTTGCTCCTGAACAATGGTGCAAAGGATTCAATTCTACAGCTGCCATTTGCTCTCTGCTGCAATAGTTGGTGCAAAGTTCTCAAGCTACACCAGCCCTCCAGAGCTGAACCAACTGACTCCTCTAACCATTCAGCACATTCTTTTGTATGCGGGCCGTTCTTTCTATAGATCAGGTTGCATGCATATGCATTCTAAAGACTCTTGAAATAACTTGCAGTGTGTAAACTTCCCACAACAGACAATGAACTTCTCCATGAGGGCTCCTCCTCTTGACTCTGGAAAGACAGTCCTAAGCACAAATCTGTTCAGTGTTGCAGTTCTTGGCAAAAGTTTTACATACGTCACTTGATATTAGATTATCATGAACATGAGTTCATAGAATGACTAAGAGAATTCAGGCCTCTAGATACTGAAGCATAAAGAATACTGATCTCCATGAGCACCTAAAGTAAATGCCCAGATAGTCTTAGTTAATGTCCCTCTCCTGGCTACCATTCCTTACTTGGGCCTGTGCCCATAATTGCTGCTGCTGCTGCTCCTCACTCTTTATTTGAATTTTACTCGAGGTAAGGAGAGGCACTTGTTCTGGGTGCACGCTTCAGGGCAGGGTGAGACAGACTTTTTGAATGGAGAGGAGAAGCATTGGGAAATGGGGACTCCGGACATAGGGATGGCAGATGCGGAACAGTTTATCTTCAGGCCACCATCTCCAGGTGTTCAGGCAGTCCCTGGGATCAGCCAGTGCACAAGTGCCAGGAGGGGGCATGGGACAGGAGCCACAGGACCAGCCTGGTATGATCCTTGATCTCCTGACTTGGCACTGGGAGAGAAGGGCTGGCCAATTAGAAGGGCTTCTTACGGACAGGAGGCCTGCCTTGTTCTAGAAGGGCACTCTTTGAGAGGTGGGTCCAGGGATCCTCAAAAGAAGTGTTCTTGGAAATAGTTTGTAGTGTGGGTTCAATGAACTGCTCTGTGTATGCTCAAAGAGCATTTTTCACTGGCTATAGTTTGCTGGATGTACATTTGGAATAAAGAGCTTTTGCCAAAGAATGGTCTGTTGCTTTAAAAGCAACTGCTGCCTGTATGACTTGAGTGAACTGAACTAGGGAGGTTCGCTTGACTGCCACCTATGCGGATGTCTTTTAGAGGCCATGCAAAGACCTTTTAATTTTACTTCATTGCTTATATTTCTTTAACACTCAATTACTGGTGTGGTTCGCAAAAATAAAATCCCTAAAATAGAAAATAACATTATATAAAACATTATGAAAAATAACAAAATTTAAGCAAGAAACAATTAAAAAATCTTAGGAACTATTACAACTTTCTCATACACATCTGACAGTCAAATGCCTGGTATAAAGTGGTGCTGAGAAGGCAAGACTCATTGGAGAAGACCATTATGCTGGGGAAATCCAACAGCAGAAGACAAAAGGGAAATCCAAATATGAGATGGATTGAATCCATAAGGGAAGCCACAGTCTTGAACTTGGAAGAGCTGAATGGAGCTATCAAGGACAGGACAGTTTGGAGGGCTTTCATTAATAGGGTAATAGGTTGAAGATAACTTGATGGCACACAACAAGAAGGATGTGCAGTACTGGAAAACTCATTCTGTTTGAGCATGATAGACTTTTCACACATATCTGACTCAACAGGCAGAATTGGCTCAAGTTTTAGTTTTGGGCCTTTGTGAAATGGCTCAAAATACTAGTTCAAATTTGGACTGAGAACTGTGTATCTTGTCCAATGTGTGCAAATTTAAGAAAATCATGCTTTAAGATGTGTGCTTTGATGACTTAGCAAGCCTTTATCTTTTACATTAACATTTCAAGAATCCCACATCTTTGCTTCTGCAAAGTAATGTTATTTTCTCCATTAATTTTACTTTTCAGTGCATGAGCTTAGTTCCTTTTCTTGCACCTCAACCCATGTGTAGATATTGCCTGTAGCCACCACCTTCTTAGAACACTATACCAATAAAACTCACAGCAGAAGGAATCAATCTGACTAAAAGGTACTTCTAATCTTCTGGAATTCAAGTTGTCAGACAGAAATTCCACACACTCCTTGGGAATACTAGAGAGACAAAAGCCCCCCTCCCTCAAATTCATACTGCAGATGTCAACACTGTCTGGGGAGGGTCTGTTGATTTAGATTTATAAAATATTTTGCATTCCTGTGAGAAAGTCACTTTGAGAATAGACTGAGCGAGGACAATCACTGCAGTGCCTCTGGGGGATCTTTGTTGTCTCTCCAAGGGATTCCTGTAGACTTGGCAGCAGCCCTCTAAGATCAATAGTGGTGAACAAGTTTCCCAAAGAGGGCTTTTCCTCCACTATTGGTCTACCCCACAAAGTGTAGATACAAAGGAAGAGTGTAGATACAGGAAGAGTGACTGTGCTATCTTCCTTGACAGCATATTCCAAAGTCATGTGCAGCAACAGTGAAACCCCACTGGTCTGCCCAGTTTCTTGTAGGAGTTAACAGGACACCAAAGAACATTCTGAAGAATGCTTTGCAGCATGAAGGGGCAGGAGCACGGGGCCTCCTCAGCAGACTGGTTGCTCCAAAAACTGTTCCCTTAAATGGGACAGCTTCAAAATCACTCCTTTGATATTTAGATATACATATGAAATATTTTTATTTATCACTGAATGATAGAATCATATAGTTGGAAGGGACCATTAGGCCAAAGTCCTTCTAAGTGCTGGAACCAAGTGCTGTAAACACATCTCTCCCCTTTTCCCTTTACAAGAAATCAGAGTTAAAGGCGTCTAACTACATGCCTTTACTGAGTTAGGCTAGCCAGTTGGGGCTGGATTTGCAATACAAAGTGAGCAATATAAAAGTTGTTAATGAGAAGCATCCACTGAATTAAGGAGCCTTCTGATTGTGCAGTTGATACTTGCCCTGAATTGCCCTCCATGTACAGCTGGCACCACCCTCTGGGAGGTAGAGGCAGAGGGTGTGAATGCCCGAAGCTCGATGCTACTTAAATTGTTTTTGATGTTGAACCACTGGGTTGATAAGGTCACATCCCTACCCCTGTACAACCCTGTTCTATAGTGTCTCCTGATAATGAGTAATGGTCTGGTTCTCACCATCTATTTGGCTTATCATCGCTCATTAACCTTGGCATTTGGAACCCACCTTTTCTTCTTGTTCATATTCAGTGCCTGAAATCTATGCTTTGGAATGCTGGATTTTGGAAGAAGCAGGCGCAATCCTGTTTAAAGGCAGATGCCTGTCCATTTTCTGTTTGAATACCTCCAGTGACAGAAAACCTACTACCTCCCTCAGCAGTTGGTTCCATTATCGGATTGCTCTGACAATTGGGAATTGTTTCTTGATGGTCAACCAAAATCTTTTTTTCTGTAACTTGAGTCAATTATTTCATGACCTACTGCACTGATGATAGAGAAGAGGTTGCATGTCTCTTCTGTGTGACAACATTGGGGCACATTTAAAGTGTTACCTTATCCCCACCTCACTCTTTTCTTTCCAAGGCTAAATAAACCCAGTTCCTTCCATCTTTCCTTGCAGGACTTAGTTTCTAGTCTCTTGGTCATCTTTGTTGCTCTTCGCTGAACTTGTTCCAGGGTACCCAAATCCTTCTTAAAATGTGCTGTCCAAACCTGGAGACAATATTTGAGCTGAAATCTGACTAGTGCAGCCTGGAACTATTACTTTCTGTGAAAATGAAAGAATACTTAAATTAATGCAACCTAAAATTGCATTTGTCTAATGACAGTTTTTATATCCTGGAACAGAAGGGATTCCAACTATACAGGACCTTCGAGATTTTTCTGTTGTTAGGGTACAATCCTATGCATGCTTAATCCAAAGTATGTCCCATAATGTAAAGTGAAATTTACTGCAAAATGTAAAGTGTATATGATTGTAGTTTATGTCTTGTAGTCTCATATGGCCTAGGTGAAAGGTAGACAAAATGGTGCCTTCTGGATAATTTCTGATCATTGGCCATGCTGAGAGTGGTGGGGTTGTAGTCCAAATCATCTGGTTGGCACCAGGTTGTATACCCTGGCCTATGGAAACATTTAGTTCTGTTCTTCTAGTGAAACACTTAATTAAACATTATCTTAATTTAGCCCATAATTAGCAGTCACATTTTGTCCATAACCATGAACAAGCTTTGAAATAGGTATTGCTGAAATAACTGAATGCACATCTCGCATTTAAACTAGCTGCTTAAATCAAAAGAAAAGACTTGTGTTATTTTATCCATTGCCCAGTTAAGAAGCACCAACATTCCTCTGAT